CTGCGGAAGTCTAAAGTCTCACGTAGAACTTAAAATAAAGGATATTTGTTTGGTTATTTGTTTTTTCTTTTAACAAATATTTAAAAGACTGTCATTATGCACAAACTTTGATCATTTCTTGCAAGGAGCACACAGGAGACAGAAAAGCAATCAAATTGGAGAGACAAGTGCACTTAACAATACTTAGATGTTGAGGTTTTATTAGTCTATTTACTAAATGGTTGTTAGCAAATAGTTGTTCGAGGATTTGCAATGAGTGGCAATCGCCGAGGAATAGGTATGTAACATCTGATGCATATAAACTTACGTAAAAAGGGGAGCTTAGAACTAATGCTTACTTTTTCAAACGTAAACATTTTCGTAGTGTATAGAATGACCTTCTTTTATAAAGATTTAGTTTCAAGTTGGCTGCCCTGGAAATGGCTTGCCAAATTACCTGCATTCAAGAGTTTTTAGTCCAGAATTGCAGGAAAAGAAATGAGATTTAGGAGATCCTTGCAGCTAAGAACACTACTGAAACGAGTAGTTGTAAATAGGACCTGAAAAAATTTCAGGCCCGTACGGGATTTGAACCCATGACCTCTGCGATACCGGTGCAGCGCTGAGAGGTCATGGGTTCAAATCCCGTACGGGCCTGAAATTTTTTCAGGTCCTATTTACAACTACTCGTTTCAGTAGTGTTCTTAGCTGGAAGGATCTCTTAATTTCATCTTTCCACCGCAGTGCAAATATGTGAATTTTCACATATCTAAATTCTTCAAATGAGAATTGTTCAGAGAGTGTGTATCGCTCGTGTTTACCGCAATAACGTAATGTAGTAGAAGGGAAAATTTATTAATATGTTGCATGACATTATTCGTGCAACTGACGAGGGAAATCTGTCATGATTGGGCCACTGACTTATCACGCTGGTCTCTCCCAACATCCGGCTTCTTAGCTTGGATCTTAGTACCGAGTTTGAATTCCGTCGAGTTCTGTTCTGCAAGAATCATTTCTTAATTAGCCTTTCATTCGCTGGTCAGAATATCATTTATGATATTTAACATCAGGAAATATCTATTACAACCTTGTTTTGCCGCTCTGAACAGAGACTACACGAGACGACGCCTCAATCATAAACCATGACAGGTTCCGTGCCAGTTTCCACGAAGTCTGTGCAAGACCAACCAAAAGGATAGGATGGTCATAGCACGTCATAGAGGATTTTCCGCGAAATTAGTCAGTCTTAAATAACTGCGGAAGTCTTAAGCCACAAGTAGGACTTAAAACAAAGGATATTTGTTTGGTAATTTCTTTTTCTTTTAACGAATATTTAAAAGACCGTCATTATGCACAAACTTTGATCATTTCTTGCAGGGAGCACACAGGAGACAGAAAAGCAATCAAATTGGAGAGGCAAGTGCACTTAACAGTACTTAGAGGTTGAGGTTTTATTAGTCTATTTGCTAACTGGTTGTTAGCAAATAGTTGTTCGAGGATTTACAATGGGTGGCAATCGCCGAGGCATAGGTATGTAACATCTGATGCATATAAAGTTAGGTAAAAAGGGGAGCTTAGAACTAATGCTTACTCTTTCAAACGTAAACATTTTGACAATATCTCCCTAACAAGTTAGAATTCTGCCTGAGCTTTTGGCTGATTTATCGTCGTGCGTGCCAAAATTCGTCTTTTCCAAGAATTGAAAACGAATTTGTCCACACTCGGTGGAAACAACTTAAACATCTATTTCTTTCGTATTCGGCTCTTAGTTAGACCCTAATGTGAGATAGACTATTCCATTCTTTGTTTGCCTCAGAATCGATGCATTTTTAAGGAGATAGGTATCAAAGGAATGTGGGGAGCAAAGTTTCGAGCCACTCTTGTAGCTTCGCACAACAAACAGAAACATCCTTGGCCATTAAATATAAAACCTAAAGAATTGTTATAAACAAGAATGACGAAGTGTCTTGGGCAGTTGGAACAGCTTTCGTGGGATCTTTTACTTTTAGTGCAACTGAAAATAAGCACAAACAGGGCTTCTAGCACAAAATGGCATTTATATGAGTAGGGGATATACCATATTAATTTGTCGACAATCAACATAATTCGATTTCCTCGGACTGGCTTCATGGATGAACTGCCCACTAGCAAAAGTACCTGCTCAAGAGGGGATCTACAAAATTGTTGTATTTTTATCTCATTTTCCTCGTAGTTTAAGTTTTTTAGTCTATTGATATCCACAAGATATCCGCTCTCGCTTTATCAAAGCTGATTTATAATCGAGTAAAAAAGGCATAAGGTTTCTTTGGAAAAAATCAACGGAGGACATCTCTTTAAAGCCAAAGAGATCACTAAAGGGCCTACGGCATTTGCTTAATGGCGGATACGCGAAGACACGCTGTTTAAGTAATTTACAGATTGTTTAGTCTTTTGAATGAAAGTTTTACCTCACTATCGTACGAGTTAATTGAATGATGTAAACGAATCTCTGGTCGTTTTTTGATGACGCAGTCAGTTAGTCTTTTGAGGAAAACACATGCACAATTTAAAAAAAATTGTTTTTAGGGCTGGTCACTGGCAAAAGATGGTCGCATGTAACAGAACAAGGTTAAAAATTAATTCTAAAACTATTCACTGTTCGTCAACTCGTCTTACGTGCAAAAAGGAGAAACCACCAGTAAGGGGATTTGGTCTCACTGGGACCAGAGCCAAATATCTTTGTTTTTGGTGTCGGTATGGAATACATATATATATCCATAGCTTTTCATGCAACTGAAAAAATGAAATCGTTTACCCTTAGGCCTCTAACGTATCATGCAATGAATATTTAAAATATTTATATACATTCATATATATATATATATATATATATATTTAATTTTACCACACTATGCCTCATTGTCCTTTATCCACGTCCTTTGCCTTTATCTACCTTCATCTACCCTAGTCTACCTTAATTTTCTTCATCTCACTTCATCTACCCTGTTATAATCTCATTTACCTTTATATCCTTCGTTGTTCTTCCTTGTCCTTCATCTATCTTCTTTTGGCCCCATCTACCTTCATCAACCTAAAATTACAATCATTGATCTTCATCTATCTTCCTCTGCTTTCATCTACCTTCATCTACCGTGGTCTATTTTCATCTACCATTCTTTACTTTGATCTACCATTCTTTACTTATCCTCATCCTCCTTCAGCTTATATCTTTTATCTTCATCTACCTACATCCATTTTCATCTGCCATCATTCACCTTCAGATAACTTCATCTTCCTTCATCTACCTTCATCTACCTTATCTACCATCTTATATCTTCATTCACCTTCATTTATCTTCATTTACCTTTATCTACCTTCACTTATCTTCATTTTCATTTTACTCCTTCTTTTACCATCATTTATCTTCATCTACTTTTATTTACCTTCTTCTAAATTTATCTAACTTCGAATGAATTAACCTTCAACTTCCTTCATTTACTTTCATCTCCTAAATATACCATCACTTACCTTCATCGGCCCTATTCTACCTTCAAGCACCTTCATCTAATTTCATTTTCCTGAATGTACAATACTTTGCATTTATTTAACTCTATTTACCATCATCTACCCTTATCTACCCTAATTTCCGTTCACTTACCTTATTCTCCC